TAATGACATTTTTTAAATGTCAAATTTTTCTACAATAATATAAGAGCGATAAAATGACTCATAATTTTATCGATGGTCGATATTAGATGATTTTATCGATCTTTAATATTTATCGACGTTAATTACAAAAAATTTAAAAAGATGGCGCAAATCATGTTTTACAACTTCGATTTATTAAAAAAAAGATGTGCCACCGGTCACATCTCTGATACAAAATTCAAACGGACGTCAAATTGTATTAAATCAAGGACAATATTGTTGAAAGTTGAAATAGCCTGCGATGAAACGTTTGATCACTGTGTGATGTGAGATATGACTGGAAATTTTTGTGGAAATTGAAACGGCGTATCGAGAGAAGAGAAAGCTCGATATAAAGGAAGATGAGTGTCACCAGTAAATTGCTTTACAACAAGCTTCATGGATTACGTCCAGATCTATCATCGGGGATCACACCTGAGATCTTGAGCAAAGTATGCGACGATCCGAGTACGCAGCCTTTTCTGGAATGGTTCTGCAAGAACGTGAGCAGTGCCAATATTCTCTCCAACGAGGAGATAAAATTGTATGACACCTCTTTTACAAACCACAGTTGATTGATATAACTGGACTAGACTTCTGATAATTTTTTTCTTCTTTTACAGAAAAAATACACTGAAAGATGCTGGCGAAATGTTGGAAGGTGAAGCATTGGACGCCGCATTGGAGGAAGCCACCAGAGATTGCCCGAACTTGTTGAAACTTATCGACATAGATGATACATGTCGAGAGGATCTATTTGTAGAATACGAAGTGTTGAAGGAAAGCTGCAGAGAAGATGAAAAGTATCTTCAGTCGTTGAGACATAGTATAAAAACTTTGAAGTAAGAACTTTTATGAAGTTATGTTTTCTTTCCTTCAAAGTATTTATGTAATAGTTAAATAATTTAGAGAAATTTTGTTGTAGGGAAGTCAAGAATAAGCTAGATGATGATATTGAAGAAGCAGAAACTATGCTCAATAAAGAGCAGATCGAAACAGAAAAGGCATATGACGATTGCAGTGTCATTTTGAAAAAATTTGATAAAGATACTTGTCAGTTTTCAAAAGATATCGAGAGTCTTTTAAATGTGTATGCCAATGCTGCTAAGAATGTAATTATCTTAAACTTTGTAACTAATTTTATGAGTTATATGATTTATTTATTATTTTCTTTTTCAGCGAGGCAGCGCGGTGTTATGGTCACAAATGCCTATCCACTTGTTTAGTAAACAAATAGAACTCTACAATCATTATCTAGGTATTCATATAAAGAAGGAATTTGGAACTAATACTAACAAAGAAGAGCAAGAAGAGGATTCAGATTACGGATCTCTAATAAATGATAGTAGGGATAAACAGATGGATGAAAGGATGCTTGAGTTACATATGTGTAAAAGAAAGTAAGTAAATAGGCAATTATCTTTTTAAAAAATGTATTAAGCAATATAATTGTATTTTTTCTTATTTCTTGTATAGCTTAATCCATGCTAAATTAGAAGAGATTAATGCTAGTGTTCAAGAAGATTATTACATGGCAATATTACAATGTGTACAGGATATCTATAATGGTGGAATTTTAAAAGTGCCTGAAGATAATAAATTACAGTGAGTAAAAATTATTACTTATGTTAAATTAAGTTTAATCGATTGTTTCATAATAGAATAATTAATATTACCTTTATATATATATATA